TATATATAATGATAATTTTCAAAATAAATTATAGCTATCAATTTGTGAAAAACAAATAAATATAAAAATCGTTGTAATAATTTTGTGTCTTAGTGTGAACGCCCAATAACATCTAATCATACTATGTCTAGTTAGCAGACCTTAACTAACCGTTCATACTGACATCACCGCTGGTCACATGACACGTCTGTAAAACTGTCCTTGTCTGTAGAGTAATTCTGGTCTGTCTGCAGGCTGAAGATCACATAACGGCTACTGGACGTATCTGTGTCTCGGCGTGGATGTTATTTGTGTTTGGTCTCAGATTGCCAGTGTGTGTGAGTGAGTGAGTGCTTGGGTTTTAAGGGAATGACTGAGGTTTGGGGTTCGTCAGACGTGTGTGGAGAGCCTGAACGCTGCCAGGTATAAAAATACAAGCCAAGCCGCTTTTCCAGCACGTCTCTTAAAAACGCTACACTTGAGCTATAACAAACGTTTCTTAATTTGTCACATGACCTGGTGAATTAACAGTCTTATGAAGGAATTTTTCGTCTGAATAAACTTTGCTGTAAAAGCTTCACACTAATTACACTTAGCTCAAATGCTACTGCATACGTTTTACGGCGCTGTTCAACAACTCACCACAACACTCTGATATATTTGGTTTAATTACATGAAAATGAGAACTCTGGCAGTGTAATTGTAAACCCAAATCAGCAAACCGGAATCAGTGAAAAATGTTCATTATATAATGCACACTTTATTTGAAAAATAAGACTAATGTTTTAATGTGTTTTTTAATTTTTTAAAATTCTCTTTCAGTTGATATTTTTGTATGATATTATGATTGATTATTATCATAGTTGTTTTATTTTATATCTTATAATTAATAATTAGCATTTTAAAATAATAATAATAATAATAATAATTATTATTATTTTTATTGTTGGATATTAATGCTATTAATATAGTCATTTTATTATAATTAAGTGTCATTTAATAATAATTTTTATTATTATTATTATTACTAGTAGTAGTATTGTTATTATTGTGGTTGTTATTAAATATTAATACTTTTCATGTGTATTATAATTATCATCGTTGTATTTATTTTATAATAAATATAACACTTATAATTAATAATTAGCATTTTAATTATTATATTATATTATTAAATATTCATACTAATAATTATTATTGCTGTTATAATTTTATATTTTATAATAAATTCATAATTAATAATTGGCATTTATTAATGCTCATTACCGTATTGGCCCGAATATAAGACGACCCCCCTTTTTCCAGATGTACCTTTTGGAAAAAGGCTTTTTAAAAGCCAAATCTTGTTTTTTCTCAGTAAAATACATTTTGTCTTCAATTATTTTCATATTGCATATTTTTCCTATTTTAATTTTTGTTTTGAAAGTATGGTAAAAACTGGTAAAATGTACTAACAATCACATTTAAAAAATATACACTTTTGGATATACCATAAAAAACATTAAAAAACACATGAATTAGGACATTTAGGCTATCCATCTAATAGTAGCCTACCAAAATCTTATTAAGAGTAGAAGTTAAATCTTACTGTAGTCTTCAAAGCTGGGTACTGTCCCATCAGGCTAACGTGACAGTCACGACTCATGCAGCTGTAAGGTTTTCTTTTTCTTTTGTTTTTACTCGCGATCTTTACAACACGCATTACATTACGTATTTCATGGCACACTCGTTTTATGCGTATTTGGCGCCACCTATTGTTGTGGGTGTATTATTGACATGTCAAAGTCTAGACCCTGAATATAAGACGACCGCGTTTTTTCAGATGTATTTCCAAGAAAAAAACATTGTCTTATATTCGGGTCAATACGGTAATTCACCACCATTAAATATTATAATTGTTATTAAATACTAATACTATTAATGTAAAATAAAAAACTTTTTGTGATTTGATACACATCATGTCTGCCATAGAGAAGTCAGTGATTCATTTATCAAGCAGAAAAGTTTGGACTGTCGCAGGAATTGACGTCAGTGTTTGTGGAACAAGAGGTGAAGCACTTCAACAAAAGCCAAAGAATGAACGAGTGATTGTCACTAATGTAATGAAAAGGCTGAAGACGAAGTGTGTGGTCAAGAAAGAGAAAAATAAAGTCTTTGTTGTGCATCACCGATGTCTCTTGTCACAAATATACAAACGGCAGAACGATTAACAAATACGCGCACAGATGGACTATTCACAAACACTCACAAGAAGCTCAGTGTTTGGTGATGCGATTATTTGTAAGTTACCATTTCTGTGTTCAGTGACACATGAAGCGTTATCTAAAACACCTGTTTTGCTTCCTGATCAGATCCTAACATCTGTGTTCAGATGAACTGATGATTCTTTCTGTCTGTGTGCAGATGGATCTGGTGTCGACCATCGGCGAGAGCGTGGCGTTGGGTGTAGCGGGCGTCATCCTCTGGGGCGACTCCAACTACGCTAGCAGTCATGTAAGTTTGTGGCCTAATCAGAGCGTTTACTCGCCTCCTTCACATTAATGGACAATAGCAGTTGAGTGATGTTGGGTTATTTAATAGCAGATGTAGAACACTTAGGAAGCCCTGAACCGCAACGTGAAAAAAAAAAGCGTCTTAAGCCCCGTTCACACCAAGAACGATAACTATAAAGATAACGATATTAGCGTCCACACCAGGGAACGATATCGTCTGTTTATTCTAAGCGCACATGCGTCTGCCGCTTTAAATTCTTGAGCTCGTTACAGCAGGATGGATTCTGATTGGGTGTCAGTGTTTTATCGTTCATCAGCTGGAAAAAAAATCGTTTTGAAAGTGATCACAATGATATCGTTCCTCTGTATTGTTATCGTTATAGTTGTGGTGTGAACTATGCTATTCTTTAATATTGAGAACGATTTTTAGAACTATATCTTTATCGTTATCTTTATAGTTATCATGTTTGGTGTGAACGGGCCTTTAGAGCCTTCCTGAGCCCAAGTCCGAAGACTTTTTCTCTCTTCAAAACCTTTCTTCCTTCAATTTTTTTGTTCTCTCTTCAAAACTTTGTTTTCTCTAAAAAGCAACACAAGTGAGAGGAAAAAAAGATGGCTAGCTAACATTAGCATGCGGTACCAACGTCGGCCACCAGGTGTCACTATCGGTATGCATGAAATTAACGCTTAAACCACTTTAAACCTTGAATAATACATTTACGCGAAGGATTTGCATGTCGTAATCAAGACGAAATCAGGTTATATACATTGGTTGACATGTATAATAGCTAGAGTTGTTTTTAGCTGTATATTATAAACATGCGCTACAGTTGCTTGCTGTCCTGTTTTCCCAGCGCCACAAGATGGAAATATGGAGAAAAACAGGGGAAACATGGGCAAATTATTACAGTGTATATGGAGTCCTGGGTAAAGATAATCTTGCTGTAAGTAATGTTCTAAATTCCAGTCGGTAAAACGGAACGGGGAAGTTCAGGCAGACAAGCAGAGTAGCCCAGATAATGAACGCAATGTGCTAAATTAAATGCTAGGCGTTTTCTCCCCCACAGAAAACCGTTATATAGAAAATGCTTAACGTGGCTTAATGGACGAAAACTGATATAAAAAGCTGTGGCCAGAATATGAACGCAGCGTGCAAAGTCTTGTATTTAGTATTCAAGGTTTAAAGTGATTTAAGCATTAATTTCATGCATACTGGTGGCCGATGTTGGTACTGCATGCTAATGTTAGCTAGCCATCTTTTTTTTCTCTCTCTCTTGTGTTGCTCTTGGAGAGAAGAACAAGTTTTGAGGAGAGAAAAAAGTTTTGAAAAGAGACAAAAAAAGGTGTGAAGAGAGAAAAACTCTTTGAACTTAGGCTCAGGAAGGAACTAAGACCCCCCCCCCATAGAATGCAGTGATATATAAACGTATAAGGGATCATGTACAATGAGTCTGTTATTATCAGAAAATAACACTGACCTCGACATG